TTGCGAATTTGAACTTGTGTTTTTGGTTAAAAATTATGTCGAAGCCGATAAAAAGTTCATCGAGGAAACTTCTTTCCATCATGATTGACAAGTTTACTGAAGTGAAAACTGAATTAAATAAAAATTTCATGGAGAAATTACAACGATTAGATAAAGTTGTATCTTTTTTAGGTTAGTTTTGTATTATAATTTTGATACTTTCGTTTTAATTTTCTGTAATTAACTAAACAGATATTTTTTATAAAATATTGCTCTATTTCAGATAACTGTGATGGTGATATTCAACCAATAATGGAGGAGATAAATGCAATAAAAACTTTAGAAAAACAAGAAATGCTGAATTCGGAAACGCAGTACTTACAAAAAATTTCTTCAATGACAGGTCTCTTTTCTTGTTTTGATTTAAGATAGATTGATAGTATTCCTATAATATTTACATAGGTTTTTTATGATGTATTGGTTTTTATTGTTGACATCCAATGATGTCATACGAATGTTTTGTTTAACAAGGAAATTCACAGAATTCATGAAACTAATCAAACCATGTAATTGTTATACATGCTAAATATGCACATAAACTTAACTAAATTAAACATAAATTGCATTCATAGTTGAATAGGTATTTAAATTATTTTGATGTATGTGTCTATCATTATTTGCTTTTAAATACATTTAACATATCTTTGTTTCAAAGTGTTTAATCTTTTATAGATGTAAGTATAAGGACACTAAGAAGGATAAAAAATGAAGCATTAATTAATAAAGGAAAATGGGACACTCCTGGGAAAAAACGACCTCATCAACCAACAGTGTCTGCTTTAGATAATTTTGATTTAAGTGCAATTCGGAATAAAGTAAATGAATTTTACTGTGTGAAAAAAATTGTTCCAACATTAAGAAGCCTTCACAATGAATTAAAAGATGCAATAGGATTCAGTGGTAGCCGTGAGACTTTACGAAAAATAATGCTTAAGAATGGATTTTCTTTTAAAAGCAATGAAAATGAACGTTCTATGCTTATAGAAAAATACCAGATTTCTGCATGGAGGCACAAGTATTTGAGAGAAATAAATATAAAACGAAACGAAGGAAAGCAAATTGTGTACCTTGATGAAACTTATGTACATCAGAATTATAAAGTTAAAAAGTCTTGGCAAGGACCTTCAACAACTGGTGTCACTACAAAGATATCCTCTGGAAAACGGCATATTGTTGTGCATGCTGGATCTGAGGAAGGTTTTGTGCCTGGTGCATTATTAGTGTTCAGTAGTAAATCCAAATCTGCTGATTATCATGATGATATGAACTCATCGAACTTTATGAAATGGGTCAGAGAAAAATTAATACCAAATTTAAGTAAGCCCAGTGTAATTGTTATGGATAATGCCAGCTACCATATAAAACAAATCAATAAACCGCCTATAATGTCTAATACCAAAGCAGATATCCGTAAATGGCTTGTAAATAATGGAATACATTTTGAGGAATATCAGACAAAGGCAGAGTTAATGTGTTTGGTTAATGATAAGAAAACATTGCCTGTATATGAAGCTGAAGAGATTTTAAAAGAACATAATCATGAACTTTTATTGCTGCCACCGTATCATTGTGACTTAAACCCAATAGAGATGGTTTGGAGTCAAGCAAAAAGAAAAATTGCAAGCAGAAACATTGGAATACCAGGAAAGGAAATGGAAAACTTAATAATAGAGTGTTTTAACTTAATTACCCCTAGTGACTGGAAGAAATACACTGATCATGTTTTAAATGTCGAAAATGATTACAAATTAAAAGATGGCATTGTTGAAAACGAACTTGAAAAATTTATTATATCTGTTGGTGCAGACAGTAGTGAAGAGAGTGACTCTGATGATTCCTTGTCATTGTTATCAGGTGTAGAATATTTAGAAACAGATTTTGACTATGAATCAGACTAAAGTATTTTTAGTCTGATTCATAGTCAAAATCTTATCTTAAATTTTCTATTGTGATTAACATGATGATTTTGTGACACCTGTATTATGTAATTTATCCATGGCACTTAATTGTAACAAAAATAAATGTTTTTTTTATTGTAATCTGGTGTTTATATTGACTAATTTAATTTGATAGATAGTGGTTCTGGATCAGAGCAAAAGGTTGTGATGAAAATCCCTTAGGAGACATGTATGTGTTATGAACACATTATAAATATAAGGGCCAGAAATCAAAATTGGCTAACATCACATTTATTAAAAAAAATGTGGCCAGAGTCGCCCATATTCATTACAAAAAAACAAAGAAGTCGTTGCAAAAACACCCTTTTAATTAATGACAAATATGAATTTTTAATATTATAAGTGCTGTTAGCCAATAGGTATAACGAATGGGTTAAAAAAAAGATTCGATTTAGTCCGTCAGTCAGATAATAGAAAAATATTGGATACGTATTTTTTTTCGCTTTAATTTAACAACAAATGGCTTAAGAGGTACTATGCGACGACTTCAAATATGCTTTGCAACAATGTTACTTTAATACAGTTTATCGATACGAAATCAAGTGTCAAAATGGAGTCCAGTGGAGAATGCCGATATTGACATTTCGAAATTGCTCATCATTGATAGAGAATACGAAATAGTGATTTTGACACAATCAAAGTGTCTATTTTTTACGGTGATGACGATTCTTGGTTGTCAGTTGAGTTAGTGAATAGGCCTACTGATATGCTGTTAACTGTACAATTAAGAACAGTCACGCTTTAGTCAAATGTTCCAAAACAAATAATTTTAATTGATATCTAAATGTTAACATTAAATATAATTAATAAAAGTATCAAAATTATTTTGCAGTACTACATTCAGTGTTTACTGCTTAAGAATTTTTGAAATTGCCGCCCTTTTCTTGTGACACGTTTCGCTTGCCAGACTCTAGTCGCGATCGACTGTTGGCCACCCATGGTATAGAGCGACCGCGTTTTGAGATATTTCACTCCTGATCCGCCCGTTGTACACACCTGTGTACAGGCCACACAGGTGGTATCAAACAGTAGAAATTAGGTGTTCAATAGTGCACATGGTCTCTATCTAAATATTGCGTTTGGTCCAGTCACATTTCTTTGACACTGTATAATTACAGTTATAATAAAAAATGCGGTAGTTTTACTATGGGCGTTAATGGGTTAAATACTTCCTCGTTAGGGCCCTCGTTATTTTTTCAGGTCCGATATGTCAGGCCATATGTAGGTAATGCGCGCTTGTGCACTGTCAGGAATTTTACTTTTCTCTATTCCGGACCGGTTTTTTCAGGTCCGTGATGGCGGCAATGAAAAACATGTTTACGCTTGTGCACTGTTGTGTCCGAGATCCGGAAAATTCATAAGGAATAGGCTTGGGAAAAAATAATCGATTTGAATCGATATTTATTTTGGCAATTTTTGTTAATTTCCAATAAACTTATAATCGATATTTATTGTTGATTATAAAATGCTATATTTTATATGATGATTTAATATATTTGGTATATATCACTGCATATGCTTTGGCAAACTCGGTATAGTTCTAATTTGATCAGCGTATGGTTCTAGTATCGATACTTAGCTAGATTTTAGAATCGTATTAAAAGTATCGATAGCTTAAGGTAAGATAAATAAGTGTTGTTACGCTTAGACGCCTAAACAACTGAACCCATCTAAATGGAAATTAATAAAGTAAGTAGTCTTAACTTTAAGAAAGGACATAGGCTACATTTTATCGCGAAAAATAGGGGATGAAAGTTTGCATGGAAATTTGTCATTATCAAATTTTTTTGAAACAATTGATAAGTATAGATAAATATTTGACAACAGAAGTAATAATAAAGAATAAACAGAAGATTAACAAAAGTAATTAAGTGACACTCAATATCTTTTTCGCATTTAATAAAATTTTAAATGTATTTTTGTGTCATTAATAAATTTAAAAAAATAAGTATTCTTAGGGAATAATATTTCTGCTCAAAGTAGCTACACCATGCGTATAAAATTATGCCTATATATAATACAGTCAACTGATCTCGTAAAGTTCATTTAGCATAATAATTCTCCGCTAACACGGCACTAATTTCGATTTGTTTACGAAATGGCGCCACCGATTGGTCAATCTCTGTAATCGCTGAAAGTTGTTTTTACAAAACTTCGAAAAAAATAGCACATTTAAAAATTTAAACATCAAGTACTAGACCATTATCAGTAATTTTATTCTAATATCAGATATTTTTAGCTATCGTATGTGAATAATGTTGTTCCTAAATTAGTAAGGGTATAAGTTTTTACATCTGATAGTATAGTCATCCGATAGTAGTAAAAAAATGCTTTCGTCTTGCCATAATTTATTATGGTTTATGTAAAACGATCAGATCATTATTTAAGTACCTTTCTACGTCTTCGAACGGAATTACCAACGTTCCAAAAATCTCATCGTACCTAGCGTAAGTGACGTGTAGCTTCAAAGAGAGCTGCCCTACACTGCGCCGCTCCGATCAGGAAAAAAACGGACAAGTGCACAAGCTACTCATCCGAGTTTTTCATGTCATTCCGGACCGGAAAAAATCGGACCGCCGGACCTGAAAATTCAGTGTAGTGCACAAGCGCCCTTAAACTGGCGTCGCCATGTTACAAACTTTTGTATTTTGTTTTGTATAATGATGAACCATTAAATAATAAAAGAAGCCTCATGAGACAAACAGATCAAGAAGCAATTTCAAATGCGGAGAGGGTGACGCTGTCAGCCTGACACACCACACCTGTTAATTAAATTCCAAAATCGAAAATCATCGCCAATTTTTGTTCATTTCATTTTACATGTAAAAATTAATTTATTTACTTGACATTGGCAGAATTGTGCGAAATGGGCAGATAAACCATTAATTTAAAAAGGAGAAGAAATTCAAAAATAAGAGTGGTATTGTCAGCCTGACATGGCATACACCACCACTATGTTCCTGAAGTCTTGAAGATTTTTCTCTACAGAAAACTAAAACAAAATATATTCCAAGAAACATTTATTTCCTGTATAAATAAAGATTAAGCTTCAGCCTGAGCTTGCAATCTCTTTATAAAGGATTCTTTCTTTTGCTTGATCCTGTTTTTCCTTTCAGCCAATGTCAGTTTGCGTTTGTTCCATCGTTTTTGTTTTGCAGGATCCTTTTTACTGTCTCTCTTCTTATAGGATGGGTCAGCACGGATAGCTTCATGTGCTTTTTTATACAGATTTTCAATCTGAAAAAGGGTAACAATTTGTAAGTCATATATCTTTGTATTCATATGATTAATAATCAAAACCATTTGGTACTAATTAAATACTATTTCCTTTCCTTTTAATGTACACATGGCTGTATGTCAGAGGTTTAAAAAAAGGGGGTGTAGGAATTTGACAGTTTAGTATAACCTGATGTGCTGTTGACTTTACAGAACACTACAAAAAAAGCTTTAGTATAACCAATCACATCATTAGTGAAGATTTTTGAATTTTTTTTTTTTTGCAACACATAACTACTGGTCAAGAAATTTCACTACAATTGCATGGATTACATAAAATATTTTAATATCCTGTGTACAGACGTAAATAGAGACTATTTAGTCCGTTAGTCAAGTAATAAGAAAATATTAGTTATATTTTTTTACTTCAATTTAACAAGAAATAGCTTAGATAACAGGCATTAAATTTGAGAAGTGGGGGCTCCTTATGTCAGTTTTCTAGAAAATTCACCAAAGTGTGACGTCATATAACATTTTAACCCAATATATAGCCTTAATTTAATGATTATGAAAAAAATAAGTGTTTAATATTTTCTAACAATCTTCCTGACAAACAAACAAACAGAAATTAATCATCATCACTATTATGCTTCGGTAGATTTTAATTACATAAATATCACTGTAGATGAAAGATAAAAAACAATGTTGCCATAAATTATATATTTCAGATCCATACATGGATTGAAAGTTATTTATATAGCAATTAATTTGGTCCGATTACGACACTGCACTTTATAATAAGTTAAAGAACAGTAATTAGCTCGGACGTCAAATAATATGAAAATTAACTTACAGCATCTGCATTTACACCAAGTTTAATGTATTTTCCAAATTGTCTCTTAAATGAGTCTTCATCTTCTTGTTCCAGATTACGCATGTATTCAGCAACGTGTATTCCAAAGATATGTGATCTGAAAAATATTTGTAAATAATGAACAGAATGCAAATTGTATGAAACAATTAATTGGTACATAATAGTGATTAATATTCCATGAAAAGGTGGTTACATGAAATGAAAAATATTTATTTCATCATCTAGACAATATCATATACATATAGGTTTTGGAGACTCCTTTTAAGCAAATCTTTGCTTGTATTGGGAGATCCCGCTCTTCCATTAAACATTATTGACAATATTACATGAAATATTATTTTACTGTATTTAATTAAAAGACAAACTATAGGTATAATTATTATAAATAGTATAATTATAATAAGGCTTCAGTTAAATTATGGAAAAACCAAAGTAATGACGAATGGACCTAAGGATATCATAAATGTGGTAGATAATGTGATAGAATATGTAGAGGACTATATATACCTTGGTCAAGTAATATCACCACAAGAGACAATAAATAAAGAAATAGAAAGAAGAACTGTAAATGCGTGGACAAATTACTGGAGCCTTAAGGAAGTAATGAAGAATAAAGATATACATATACACCTTAAAAGTAAACTTTTTAATATATATATATTGCCTGTTCTGATGTACGAAAGTCGAACCTGGTCCTTAACCAATAAAAATATCAACGCTTTAACAACCTGCCAACGCTCAATGGAGCGCAGTATGTTAGGAATAAAAAGAATTGATAAACTCAGAAATGATATAATAAGGAGAAGAACTAAAGTTCATGATGTCACTGTGAATATCAAACGGTTAAAGTGGAGATGGGCAGGTCACATGATACGAGGAATAGGGAAATGGAGCGAATGAGTCGCTGCATGGTACCCAAGAAATGGAAAAAGACGAAGAGGTAGACAGAACAAGAGATGGGCTGACTTTTTCAAACCAATTGCTGGAGTGACCTGGAGTAGAGTAGCCAGAGATAGAAATGAGTGGAAGAGGCTGGAGGAGGCCTTTGCCAAATGGCAAACAGAAAGTCACTAATACTAAATTAAAAGTTTTCAACAATGTACATTTGAGTATTTGTATTTCTGTAATAAAAGGCTATAAATAATAAATAAATAAAATAAATAGGTATAATTATTACTAGAGACAAAACCATGTATCTGACCACCAAATTACTATCCATATGATACTGGATAACAAGCAACTATTCAGTCATATGAAATGCAAAACATTATCTTGATTATGCGCAATGCAACATTACTGATTGACTTAGCTGCTAATTTAGTTATATTTTCTCTATCTTTTTGTGCAGTCTTAAAAACCCCAAATGAGCTGTTCGGTCTTTACGGTAAACAAAACCGCTATGTGTCTGCGGCCAGCTATCTGAACATACAGTATCTGATATTTGGCCAAAAAGTTATTTATTTCAGCTTAAAAAAAAGCTTCAATATTTGTTACAGAACTGAGCCCACCTGTTTTACGCAGGAGAGATACGGTATGCGCGAATGTAATATTTCCGAGAAGTCAATTGATAAAAGTTCACTGAATTCCAATTTTAATATTAACTGAAAATGTTAATTTTGAATGTATGCAAAATCGGTTTTCGAAATTAATGGACAACTTTCTATCACAACCAAAAAATTTTGCAAAGTATTATTTTCGCTCTCATAGGGCTGCCCGATAAATAGAGGATTCTTTTTATCGGAGGATGAATGGAGCTATGAAATTTGCACTATTGGTATTTATATATGTAATGTACCTGTGTACTTCTGCATTGAATTTCTTAGCTTCAGCATCATAACCAGGGAATCGCTTAATTGAGTGTGGTACATTAAGGCCTCCATCAACAGCTCCCTTCATTGCGCCAAATACACGTGCTCCTGTAGTTGTTCGTGCCAGTCCAACATCAAGGTAACACCTACAAAAAAAAAAAAAAGTCAGTATCTTTCATTGTTAAAAATATTACTTAATACAAAGAAAGATAGGTATCAGGAGATTACATACAACATTTAGTTTTCAGTCCGCCCGTAATACATCTCATCATTTAAAAAAAAAAAAATAGCTTAAGTTGCAGATAAAATTAAAAACAAATGTACATGTCACAACCAAGGTTACAATAGCTGTTAATTGGGCGGCTAGCCATTACACGCTAAGTTTTCTAGTTAAATTATGACATTTGGACTCTTCAACAAGACAGCTGATTTAAAAGCCCCTAAAATATTCATTTAATTTTGTTATGTTTTATAAAAAAAAAAACCTCTTAATTTAAGATTAACACATGACCTACAGGACCAAAATAACTTAAAATAATTTTATGTTGTATTAACTATTGTAGCACCCAATTTCGAAATCTTAATAAACATACTAAAATTAATCATTCAAATACATTGCTTACGCTGACGCCGATTGAATCGCCGTATATCTTGTCTTTGTATAATTGTATTAATATTAAGAATTTAGTTTAAGCTTAACCCACTTGCATAATGGGTGTCTGGCAATAGAGTCAGCCCGTTAATTCATTTCAATTAAAGGGCTAGCCAGCCTATTGGTTGGCTGACTATCCCACTTGGTTGCAACATTTAAATACATCTGAACATAGCCAAATTGCTACCCTTTTAATGAAAATCTGAATACATCCATACTGATTACAACATGAAATACATTGTGTTATAAAAATTGTTTTCCTCAGACCTCTAGAACAATGGCTCATATCAAAATGTGGATTATAGAGAAACAACAGCTAGTGAATGGCAACTTCGACTTATTTTACTTTAGTAAGAGCTATGCAAAGAAAATGCTTACATCTGTCTCTAGGTTATAAAATACTCTTCCCAATCTGTCGGCTTAGCCTACATAAAACAGCTTCAATGATTTAACAAACATATAGTAGAATGTAGTAATTACTAAAAAAATACAATACCTAAAAGCTCCAGGTCCATTGTCAACTGGTTCTACATTGAATTCATCCCCTGTAACTTCAGTTGTGCCAGCATATAAAGAATCGAGACCAAGTCTTTGTAGTAGTCTTCTTGCCAGCAGGAGACCAGTACAATATGCTGCAGCATAGTTTGTGAGACCAACCTAAAAAATCACAACAAAATTAGAAAGGAAACATTACAATCACATACTGAATTTTCTACTTTTATACTTCAGAAAAGAACATAAAGCAACATGAAGTGTTGCGCTTGTACGACGCTTTCAGACCGCCCGTTCTGTATCATCATAAGAAGCTACATTATAGGTCAGTTGCACAAACGTCCATTACCAAAATACCAAATTTGTATGGGTAATATTGCTTTATACTAATGACAATTGGGATGTTTGTGCAACTGGCTGTTAATTAACTATCAATTGTTTAATTAACTTTACATGCAAGTGCATTTTCTTGCTGAAATTTGTTTATTGAATAAAATAATGCTTTATTGAACCACCCATCCTAATAAATGAGTGATCAGAAAGAGTTGAGTATCAATAGTAAAGAAAATAATTCAAAACAGTGTGATTGAGGTAATTCTGTAGGAGGATAGAGTTTACCTTGATACCATAACGTGGCAGCTCATGCGAGTATGCTGCACAAACTATGTGATCTCCCTCAATACGTGAATATGCCACTTGGCAAGTCACATCTTTATTTGAAAGACGTACAATGAGACGGTACTTCGGAGTGTTATACTTATTCTTGTCCTAAAAAACAAACAATCACTAATATGGTTACAATTTTATCTCACAAATATCATATATTGTTACAAGCAAATATAGTTTTCAAAACAAGATATGTTTTGTGATAGTGGTTGCAGTAAAGAAGTCTAGCAACTACTTGTGACTCAGGTTGCCAACCAGGCTTGCCAGGTGTTTGGTATTCTACCAAACCATTCAGTATCTTAGCATTATGTTCGGTATAATAAAAATACTGAAGTATTTGGTTTGGAATTTTTTTCTGATAATTTTTTATCCCTAACAAACAATTAAACTATCTAGATTATACACTTTTGTTACGGATGTCAGAAACAGTGGGGGGGAAGACAAATATATACATAATATAAATAGAAAACACCCAGACAGAAGAGTCACGATATATATTACTTCTTTTTGTTTATTTTTATCATTGTTAGGTATTTATTCATAAAAGACCTGGCAATCCTGTTGCCAACCGATAATTTCAAAGTTGCTGACCATTCACAATCCAGTAAGCCAATCCAGTATTTGTCTCACAAGTCAGTCCAGAATATAATTTATACAGGGGATTACATAAAAATCCAAACTGAAATTTGAATTCATTAATATGTCCATTTCCATTTTTTGTATAAAAATATGAAACAAAATTGATTGATTTTATGTGTCTCAGATATTCTATCATTATGTCATTTCGAAACTTATTTCATTTACGCAACGAAACATTATTACCAATTGAAGGTTGAGCAGATGCCATTTTTGAAGTAAATTCAGACAGCCAAGTGAATTCGAAGTTCAGATTTTTACAGAATCACTGGGCTGGTCTGTACTGGATTGACTTAGTTATTGAGCTTGTGTTATTGTAACTTATTGACCATTACATTTAAGGGTAAAAAAACCAGGTTGATGTAGTAAGTGCAACGCTAACAATGTCACCCATTTGTAACTCACATATAGTAGGTTTGCGTCCACGAAGGACTTTTATGATTACCCTACAATCAAAAAAGTTCTAAACTATCTTTATAATTGGTATAGATGACTTACCTGAACGATTAGACGTTTTCGGGCATAATAGTCGGTTTTACCTTCACGGCGCCTCTTGAACTTAACCTGATACCTCTTAAAGTACTGCTTATTCTTAACAACTTTAACGAATCCCTGGAAATAAATAGACATGATTAGAATTTGCAGGTTAGAGGGAAAGTTTATTATATACAAATGTAGATATTCAGAGACACATTATAATCATATTTGTTACAGAGGACAACGAAATCGAAAATTGTAATAACCATAAAACATGGTACTACAACTCAATTTGAGCCTTTTGCAACATCAGATGACGCGCATGTGTCGTAATTCATCACAAAGGTTATTTATTGCTAAAATAATAAACAATCTCATAACGATGACAGTGATTTAACCGAATTTTCGTCACAATATCTCAACTTGATTATTTACAGCAAAGGTTTCTTTCTATTGATTTCAAGCAAATCGATTTCTTTCAGTTCAACACGATTCGCTAATTTTATCTAACTTTATTACAGTAATCATGACTGTGATAGTTTAAATAGTTTCAAGAAAGTAAATAAATACAAAGAAATTAAACTTGTAAGAATTTATTTACGAAAAAATGCTTACCATTTCGAAGTATTAGAACTGAAACAAATCCAAGGCACCGTCTCCGTGCCTTTGCCACATAAAAAGAAATATGGTGGATCGATAGGGTGACCAGTGGCTGTGTTCTTGTATAGATAATCGATATGACGAATGTAGATATCGATTTGATAATTTCAGAGATAGTAGCTAAATCATAATGGTTTGATATTTTTATTACCATTATGGTAATAATTCCAATTTTGGCAGAGGATGGCGCGTAAAAATTCACCTTAAGAAATCTGATAGGATATCTCATTATATGATTAATTATTCATTCTTTATAGTAAGGTCAGTGTCAAGTATCAGCAGGCGTATTCGCTAACTCAACTAATAATCTAAAGTCGTAATCACTGAAAAAAGTGGGCAATTCCAATGTGTCAAAATTATTAATTACGTAAATCTGACTATAGATAAAATTGGCAACACACAAATGTCAATCTCCGCTATGGCTTCCTCCTATTCATATCCTGAATTGTTTTTGGCGGGTTTTATATTTACACTTCCTTTCATATATGAAAAAAGTAATGTATTTCGATACTATTTAAAGTTTTTTCTTTACTATGCTTATGTTTTGATTACTTGTACTATTTTATTGCCTGTTGTTCTGTTATATCCAAGAGACGTTACAAACTTAGTGTAAGTATTGATTTTCTTTAGTCGGCTCCACTAAGACTGTACCTATCTGATATAAAGTTGTATGGAAATGTTATGTATATTAAAAAAAATGTTTTGTATTCTTCAGCGTTGCTTCCAAATTTTGCCGATATGCATCGTATATTGTTGGCATTGAATGGGAATTACGGGGTATGGAAAACTGGGATAGCGAGCAATGTTTTATCGTGATATCAAATCATCAAAGTTCGCTAGATATTTTAGGTGAGTTCTTCTGATAAAGTAAAAGATCTACTCCAATGAAATATCATTTTTAATAATATCATTACAACTAAATTTTTAGGTATGTTTGAAATGTGGCCGCGAATGAAGAGATGTACAGTGGTCGCAAAACGACCTTTAATGTTTGCTGGTGCTTTTGGGTTCGGCGCTTGGCTCTCAGGGCTTGTATTCATAGATCGTCTAAAAACTAACAGAGCAAGGCTATTAATGAGAGAAGCTACTGAACGCACCATACAGGAAAAGGTAATTTAATTAATCAAAATATGTAATAGGATATCGAATAGCAATATTTTTATTTTTCATATATACGCTTCATAAAACTTACATATTATTCATTGTATGTGTTTATAAAGTAATAATGATTTATATCTGCCCCTCTCGGGTATCAATAATTAGAGATTTTTTTAAGCATTTTCTAAAGAAAAATTTACGTATGTAGATATGTATGAACTTAGAATAATTAATACAAAGTTCATCGACTATAATAATGATTTATATTTTTAACAGACTTGAAAATAAAAAATGAGGAGGTTCTATGTTCGAAGGCGTTCTTTTTTTATTTAAGATAACCGATTGTTTTGGGAATTGGTAACCGATTTTCAAATTTCCTTTTTTTATTAGACAGCTTATGGGCCCGAGGCAGTCTTATATTTTTTTTCGGAATCGGATCTCATTTGTTTTTAAATCAAAAATTGGTGGTATATTCACCGAATTCTTCACCAATTTTCAAAGCGTTTTTTTGATAGCCAGCTTCTCCCATATCAATTTTATCGTAAATAAATATTCAGTTTTGTATTTACCTTAAAAAATTTCACATCGGTCCCTCCACTAATTCTGATACAGGATAAATAAATTAATATAAAACAACATCACATACTTCGCTCAGATTCCAAGAAGAGTAGCTAAAGCACCCGTATTAAGGATTAGTCCAAGACACGCTAAGCCACTGGAGACGAGTGGCCTATTATATCATCGAAAAAACAATGATGTCTTGCCTGTTACGCCAACTAAAAAAGACACCTTTGTATTAACTCGTTTAACTCTAAAAAGAAACGGGAGGAGACGAACTCACCACGGATCTGTGTGCAACAGCTATCAAAGCCGACACGGAAACAGCCCTCACCTTATTCAACAAGTGCCTAGAACTCTCCCACTTTCCTATACCCTGGATACGGCAAATACGGCACTCAAAAAAAAATAAAGAATAGGACATTCATAACAAACTAAATTATGCGGCACATAAAACCCAAGCACTAATTACAAAGAAACTAAATTATGCCATACCATGTTTAGAAATGACTGGTGAACTGATAGAAATCTCTAAAGAAATAAAAATACTAGGAGTTATAATAGACGATAAATTGATATTCAACAGCCACATTAACTATATGTGCAATAAAGATATAAATATCTATAAAGGATTGTTACCAATGCCCCAAAAACTACATGGGGACTTAGCCCCGAGATAATTAGAATCTTGCACATCGCCGTCATTGAACCAATCATATTATATTCGGCAAGTGTCTGGACAAAGGAAGCGGAAAAAGCTAAAAGTAGACAACACTTTAATACATTGCATAGAGGGTTCGCGCAAAAGATCGCCAAGACATATAGAACCGTATCACTCAATTCCACATTAGTATTGTCGGGGCTACTTCCGCTGGACTTAAGGATCCAAGATGCATCCTAGCTTTATGAAGCAAAGCGAGGGAATCCCCAGGTAATACTAAGTTGCAGTAAGCTAGAGGAGCGGGTATCCCTACTGGAATCGAACCAACCCGGCAGTACAAGCGTGATAGAGTTTGAATACCTGGAGGACGCGAAAGAGGATGGCAAACTGGCAGAAGGATTTGTGAAGATATATAGAGATAGCAGCAAACTAGAGGGTAAAAACGGTGCCACCCTGACCTGTTGGAAAGAGCGATTGAGATCGCTTCCTGAAAGCTTAAGCTGGAGCCATACTGTACAGTCTTCCAACCCAAGCTACCGGAGTACATAATTAGCAAAGAATGGAAGGAGATTGCGGTGATCAGTGACACGAAGTCCGCTCTCCAGTCGCTACGGAATCCGTACTCGTCGCACTCAATCACGAAGGCGATTCATGGCAACTGGATCCAACTTAGGAATAATTATCGCAAGGCCTCCCTATATTGAATCAGGGCCCATGTCGGCGTGGTTGGGAACGAAATAGCGGATGAAGCGGTCCTGAGGTTGAAGTACAAATCACACTATACCGGGTGTCCCATCTCTTTCATTACAAGGCACGCGATTTGACGAAAGCAGAATGGGACAACCGCTATAGGAGCGAAAGCACCGCGATCACTAAAGGCGCATGGAATGTTTCAATCTTACTTCCATGAATACCAATGTAAGGATACTCCAGCAAATACCCAATCTACAATCAAGATAGGTACATTCTACATATGAGCATCATCACAAATCTCAGGAAACCAAATTTACCAGAGATAATGAGTGTACCAGAGGATAGAAATAATTTTATAAAAATTATAAAAAGGTTATTTTCAAAACCAAGGATTGTCAATATGTAAAATGTATAAAAATTTAAATGACAATAGAATAGGTAGTAACCCAGATAGCAATTTAAACTTAGCAACTTGCAGCAAGTTTAAAAAAAACTTGCTAGTTTCAGGGCGACAAACTTGCACTACCTTTGATACGGTAGTAATGATAATTTTCCTAGGTACTGACTCGAATACCTATCAAGTACTCGGGTACTCGACTTCAATAATTCCAAAATTATTGCGATAGACTTTTAAATTTGAAAATAAGGATGATGACTGGGTTAAGAATCAAAGAAAATCAAACTTGCCCCAAGTATCATTACTACCGTATTAAAGGTAGCGCAAGTTTGTCACCGCGAAACTAGAAAGTTTGATTTAAACTTGCTGCAAGTAGCCATGTTATCTGGGAAGTAAGCTTTTGTTAACAAAATGTATAGAATATAAGTATAAAATGTAAAACACTACAAAGTAGTAAATGTAACATATACATTAAATATAATAGCATCTAAGATGAAAATGTTAAAAATAGAAAAGAAAAGAAAAACGATTGGAAAAGTTACTCCCCAAAGAGAAAAGTGAAATAATCCACCTAGCAAAAAAAATTAGTATAAAAGAACAAAAAAAAAGATAAATTATAAAAAGACATGCTACTGATTGGGCAAACCAATTTTTCGAGCACTTCTTACTTTTTCGCTACTATTAGTATATACTCTCGTATGTCAATCAAAGTTCAGGTAATTTACCCAAACAGCCGAAAGAAATATTTTTACAAATATTTAAGCTTTCGATAAAGATGAGAATTTGTTCTAATTATTGTATTTCATCAATTTTGCATCTACAATGATGTACAGAAAAATATTCTTAATAAAAAATGAAGACATCGGATTTCCAAAGGTCATGAGTTCGAGTCCCATCTCAGAATGCCATGGACAAAGTGGATTTTGAAACATCCTTCATTAACGATATTTTTCTGATCTATTTATCGAAAAAAAACTTGTAATTAATTTAAAATTTTCCAGTATTTACAGATTCTCGTGTCTAACGAAACACCTATGAAAGCGCGACACGTCAATAATTTATGAGGAAAACCGCGGGATACCTTCAAAGTTCAAAATTCGTACCTACCCAAAAATATTTCGACCTTAGTTTAATAATATTCAGAACCTTTAGTTGACATTTAGACCTAATTTCGTGTAATTCGCCGCCTTTTTTTTATTTCATTGCAATGCAGCATAAAGTTTAAAATTTATATAAGACTTCATTCTAAATCTAATATAGCGGACCACCCCAGATGGCAGATTAGTAATATGGTAAGGGCTAAGAAGATTATATAAAGATGAATAAGTTTATTGATTTAATCTAAATCCAATATGGCTTAGCTAGTGGTCAGTTGCACAAATGTCTATTAGAGTTGAATGACGCCTTTAAACTCTAATGAATGTTTTAATGGACGTTTGTGCAACTGGCAGAAAGTATAGAATATTATGAGAACTTAAGCGTTCTCATAATAAGCATTTGATTACGATAATACAACAAAAAATAAGAAAAAAAAATTTTTTTTTTAAAGAATCTTTTCTGTAACTGTATTTTAGTACGTTTATAAAAGCTTGTCGGTATTATTGTTCACAAAATAAAAATAAAATAATATTTATGCATAAAACGCAAATAAAACGCATAAAAAACCGAGCGGGCATTACTGGATAAATGCAGCTTACGATGCCCTTTTTTCTCAACTTCTTTCTTCATCAATTTGCACCAGCAGTTTATCCAATTTCTTGTAGATAAAATTGCGTCAGTCCGCTTCAATTCAATTATAATATCATTAATTTAATCTAAACAGTTAACGTTCACTTGTGAAAGATGAAAAGTTAGGCGTTATTCAATAATTATCGAATCTTAATATAAACGAAAGTATGTATGAACGAAAGAGGACGAAGCGAAAGATAGTCATTCGGTTCTCACTGCTTACCCCGCAATGGATACTGTGTGAAGATATATACAAAAAAAATATATAGATAGATATATACAAAAATGTATGTAATTTGTCGATCTGTTTTTTTATTTTATATTGGCTAGGATAAACATCTGTAATTTAATAATGTACATTCAAATTAAGAAATCAATCATGATTCTGAGAGCACTACTAATAGTAAATATAATAGTAATAATAGGTATATGTAGAATATTTGACTGAGCCAATTGTTACTTCCTAGTTTAAAAAGTTTATAGGCAAGATAGTTAAAAACATGTAAATAAATAAATAAATTTTATTTATTTCAGACAAAACTTTGGATTTTTCCCGAAGGGGCAAGGTTTAATAATGGTAGAATTCAACCTTTTAAAAAAGGAGCGTTTTATCTAGCAATAGACGCCCAAATACCAATAATGCCCGTAGTATTTAGCCAGTATTATTTTCTTGACAGTGAAACTAAAACTTTCGAACCAGGTAAGTTGCACTTAATTAAAATAAGTCGCAGTTATATTAAATCTGAATGTTATATACATATGAAGTATATTAGTATTCATACCTGAACAAAAAAAGCACTTTCTTTTGTCGAAGTGTATCAATTCGTTTTCGACCTACCTTTAACGTCGTTATGGAAAAAAAAGAACTAGAATCATCAAGAACGTTTTGTCATTGACTAATTCACCGTTAATGAAAATTTTAAGTTAATTTTAACGGGCCCACGGGTTTAAAATTTTCAATAGTTAATATTTTACTTATAAAGCATGGAAAAACTGATATTCCGGATTTTAGTTCCGTTTTCGAGTTACCATCTGGAATCGGTAAAAATATAAAAAGAGACGTAGAGATGGTGAATCAATGAGCGAAAGACTATTTTATTGAGGTAGTTTAAAATTTTTCAGTTTAATTCTTCCTTTAAGTAACTATCTAATTCAATTTAGATCATGGATTGATCCATGACTTGATGTACTACTAATATAAAAATTCTATATTGACAATTCTAAACCTATGCTTCCTTGATAGCTAAATAAATAGTCTCAAGTCTTTAAAATAAGAAATGTTTTATATTAAATATTTTATTTGTTTTAGGAAAAGTAATTATCACTACTTTACCTCCTATACCCACGAAAGGTATGACTCGTAATGACTTAGACGATCTTTCGGAAATGGCTCGCCACCAAATGATAGAAGTATTTCATGACAGCTCCAGAGATTTAGTGGTACAAAACAAAATAGTTATTTAAAACTTTAACATTATGTAACTCTTAATAAAGTTATTTAATCTAATGCTATATGGATCTTTGATCTTCCTTCGATACTGACTCACCGACAGACAAGCACAGCCTAAGCCGCTGATCGTGAAAGGAGCGACGTTCATATTATTACGTAGAGATAGATAACCTATGGATATACCAGAATAATCATTTTCGAAGGGATACAACTACTTGACATTTGGTAATGATTACTAAAGCATAGAATCCACGCTAAAATAAATATATTAGGTCCTTACATCCTTACTTATAAAATTGGTGTTTTGTCGTACTGGCCACTTTAATCACAAATTTCTCCTCCTTGGTTGGGAATTCCAAATTCAAATTTATACAGCCATTTACACATGTATTTGTGTTTCGTTAGGCGGAATTCATTTGTTTTTTTTTTCTTCTGTTTGTCCTATTTAAATTGAAAACTTGAAAAATAGAGTTATTTACGAGTACGAGTTCCACCGTGGTACCAGTGATGCGGAAACGGCTCGAAGGGTTAATGATGTATATGGCGGTTGTATCGCAAAAGAAAACACGTTGAAGTTCTGGATATTTCGACCTGCAGAACAAGCCCCGTGGACGGCCCGAGACCCAACTTAATAATGAAGAATTGAAGGCTATTGTGGAAGTGAATCCATCGCAACCTATCGTCCGAGTTAGCTGCAGGCTGCGGTGTTAGTGATAAAACTGTTTTAATCCACTTGAAGCAAGTTGGAAAGATTAAAAAGCTTGAAAGGTGGGTACCTCACGAATTGAGTAAAGCAAACCGGCAAACGCGCTTCGACTGCTGCGTCACATTACTTAATCGGCACAATAATGAATAATGTAATAATGTTTTGAAGTCGAATCATTACCTGTAATGAAAAGTGGATTCTCTACGATAATCGGAAGCGCTCATCGTAATGGTTGGACCCTGGCTTGCCAGCCAAATCCTAGCCCAAGCGAAAATTGACCCCAAAAAACTTTCGTTCTAGTAAGCGTTTGGTGGACTAGTGCCGGTGTCGTTCATTACAGTTTTCTCAAATCTAGCCAGACGATTACGGCAGACGTCTATTGTCAGCAATTGCAAACCATGCCGTTAAACAACCGAGGCTGGTCAATCGCTCTACGCCACTGCTACTTTACGACAACGCTAGACCACACACTGCACAACAGACGGCTATCAAATTAGAAGAGCTTTAATTAGGATATCTAAGTCATGGACCTTGCTCCATCAGATTAAATTTTTTTCGAAATTTGGATAACTTCTTGCAAGGGAAAGAAATCAACTCCGATGGGGCAGTGCAAATCGCCTTCAAAGATTTTATTCCGTCCGAATGGTTTTTTAGAAAGGAGATCAATGAACTACCTATGAGATGGCAAAAGTGCTTAGATAACAATGGTTCATACTTTGATTAAATAAATATATTATATTAAAAAATATTCGACTTTTTGTTCTTCCCATACCAAACAGCAAATTCATATATAAGGACCTAATATTAGTCATTTTTTCCCTTACGACCCGTGTTAATGCGTAGTAATGAAATATATGGCCAAAATAGAGTAGGACATAAGTGCAACGTGTTTATTGACACCTTTTTCCAAAACAAAAGCGACCAATGCTATCGGAACGACATATGGCACAGAAAGCAACGCCACTTACTCTCCGACCCACATTACTTTAAAAGAAATAATATATTTTTTCAATTTAAAACTTTCATTCGCTTTTCATAGCAATACCATAAAACCAATAGACTCAAAGAACAATGGCCATCTGCCTAACATGCTTGGACTAGTAAAATCGAATAAAACGTAACTTGATGAAACATATGTTATTTTGTTTGCCTAAGCAACTAGAACAAAGAAAGACATTAAATATATTTTTAAATGCTGGGAGTATCGAGTAATTGTGTAATATGTTTTTGAGGTTATGTCGTATTATTTAAACTGTAGCATTTTGAGTTAGAGGTATTACAGTTGAAATATATAAAACACACGTCAGATAAAGCCTAATCGTAGTCCTAGAAGTGCATACTTTCACATAATCCATATCTGATAGAATAATTTTTATTGACTGTAAGAAATAAAATCATTTTTGTGAACCAATGAACATCAAAAAAAGAAACTAGAATATTTAAGATTGCTTTCAATAACTCTACTTTTCTATCTTACACTATAACTTACATAAAGTAGTAGTGAAAACACTAATTTCAAAAGGATATAGCAAAACAACATGTTGATTTTTCTTTTCTTTATTACAATTCTAATGAATACCTCATCACGGAATGCTGCAGGAGCAGCTACATTCTGTTCGTGTCTGGCCCATCCAAGATACCAAACTATACTATATTGTCATTATATGAGCACAGCATCCCAGTGTACATCGACCAATAAGACAATTACAGCAGTGTTCTCTTATGCCATCTAACCCGGATGTGTCATTATTTTTTTTAATGTACCTACACAAAATATTGTTTCCTTCCTATGTCTCGACTTAATTCTACTCCTTATAATTAGGACTTTATTTATATTTAAGTCTAATTCTAATAAATCCAGAGAATCCGGTATTTCTCTCCAGATCCAGATCCAGTATCAATTCTCTACTGCCCATGGAACCTAGTATGCTCCCCATAATACAGAAGGTAATATAAAATCACCGCCAAAGTTACAAAACAGTCTGCGTAGAAACACGTCTACACATATTTGTCTAAAAAAGGGAGGTCGCAATCGATTGAATACTGTAATATCGATTCTTATGAATAATCATTTGTTTTTAATTCCATTATAAATTAACTATTTTCCTCTAAGAAACATCTAATTATATTAGTAATCTAATCTAAGTTTTATAATTTTCACGGATGGTTAGTAAATAATATAAGATTTGTAACAAATTCGATTAGTCAGAAATAAAATCGATCTTGTTCTTTGAAAAGAGAGGGACTTCGGGACTTCTCTAGGAATGACATTATTAATAAGATGCGTTCAAAAATAACATAATTTAAACTGCGTTCTAAAAATAAAGACATAATTTAGAGAGGATTATCTTTCTTTTCCCAGCTTTTAAAAATAAATTGTTGGTATATAATAATTACATTCAACTTGTACTACATTTTGGTGATGGTTCCATCTTGGTACAAGAACTTTTTTTTTCGTAGTCCATTTTGACCATTGTTGTTTCTATTTGATCCTTTGACTTATTTATGGGAAATAATTTACTAATGCTCTATTTATACCTATAAAAAATAAATACTTTTCTAGTATCCGTAATCAAAACTATCCGAAATTATCGGATAATCCAAAAAGAAATCGTATCCGAAACTGAAACCGATATACCAATTGTCAAATGTCCGTATCCGTAACCGAAATAATACATCCGTTACATCCCTGGTTAAATAATAATAATATTCGTAAATTAGACAATATTACATATATTGCATAGAATCCAAATATGAAACAATGAAGGTAAGACAACTTTCAGATCCGAGATAATCTAGAAAAGTCAATTTTCTACATAGATACCGATCGGGAATCGAACTCGGGTCCTCGGAGGTGGTGAAACCAGCTGGCGTGCGAACTGCGAACCACGAAGGTTGATTCTCAGAGTGGCAACAATGCACAATATGCGTAGCCGTTCTGACGGCAGTCGACAACTCGGCATCATTTTTTTCATAAATTGTAAAAACACACATACGAACTGGAAGGAATAAAAAGACGAGTCTTATTTACTACAATTATTTGCTTCAATGGGAGTATTTAAAAAAAAAAAAGAAAATACAAAAAAATATGTCACTAGATGGCAGCATAAATTGTTGGATCTAAACGTCAATTCATGACGTTAACCAAAGAGAATAGAATTGTCAGTGTTGTTATGGATCTGATAACTCGGATTAATATCCGAGATTAATACAAAGAAACATTTGAATAAATTTCTTTTTTATTTGATTTTTAGAGCAAAATGGAAACTAACATAATGGAAGTGAGAACAGAGATTTTTTTTTATAATTTATGGAAATCAATTGATTATTGCCACAGTAGGTCTAGGAATTTGTCATTATAATATTTAACAAAAGTTCTGAAAACAATAACAACTAGGTAAGTTAGTTTTATTGCTATTAGTTGTTTGTTGAACTTAAAACAATAAAACTAATTCAAGTCTCAATAATATTTTTATATTATGTATGGTGAATGAATCTATAGGGTCTTTTAATCAGCAACAAAATTCATAAAAACGATAATTACAATAAAAAACCCGTTTATTATCTATATACTTACCTGATATGTATCAAATATACTAAGTATTCGTACAAAATAACATTTCTGGCTAAAATGACATTTGGGCAAAGTGTAACGTGCAAATAACTTGTGCTTTCGAAATTAAGACTTTAAAAAACTCTGATCCATTATTAAACCTTATATTCATAATTAAATCATCTCAATTAACATTCAGCAATCAACAAGAAACGTCTGTTCTAAACGAATAGCAAGGTTATAACTTTAAATTTCAAAATCAGAAAGACATGTACAGTTATTATACTATTATTTAGTACGGTGGGTATGTGCTTTTTGGTTCTTACAATAATATTGTTAATAATAGATTGACTTCCTACATAATCTATTCAAGAAATCAGTTTCATTGAAATATATTTACTTTACCTAGAGTAGTCATGCTCTCTTGAAATCTCTGCGGTGGTGTCGTGTGCGTTAGGTCGTTACGTCCCTCAAATATAGTATAGTCGAAATTAAAAAAGCTGCCCTTGCTGAGTTTCTCGCCGATTCTTGTCAGTAGAAGATCTCCCGCCTTAGTTTTGGGAACTATTGGCTAAGTTTTCGACTTTCACAAGTACTATGTAACAGCCTAGACTGAATTGATTTTGATATTTATATTAATATCATTCATTTGTGGATGCATAATAACATATACAAATACAAGCTTAATTCTGCTCTCTGCTTTTTAACGTAAGCGAAAAAGTAACGAGCAACCAATAAGTTGGCTCATCACTAATGTTGACATATAAACCAAACATATTTCCTTTACACGTAACATAAGAAATAACTTAAACTTCCGATTCAAATAAATTAAAATTAATTTGAA